AAGAATATTTAAATTGTAACATGTATATTGTAACAAGGCACAGGAAACATAACAAACCTGCTGCGAGAAAGAGGTAAGACATTCAATGTGTGTTATAAAATGAAAAGAAAACCATAAAATGTAAAAGTATTATGCAAATAAAACAAAAGTCATTGTGCAATAAATGTTTATAGCTTTGTACTACTCACGAATGTCGGCTAGTGAACTTTATACAGCCACGAGAAATCAATTTTCTTTAGGTGGGTGAATGAGTCGAACAGGCAAATTCCCTGTGTGTTGAATTTCTCCTTCTTTGCGAATGTAAATATCATAGGATTTTATTAGCACGTTATAGACGTCATATGTGTTGCACGTTGCAGATAAATTTTGTACGCTTACCTAATCTTATCTCCTTCCCTCCGGATGAGGCCTCGGCACGTACAAAATTATTATTCACATTCGTAATTAGTGAGGATTACGGATTATATTACCACGACCGTACTACACCTCCATCAGCCACAGCTCGACACACTCACTCACTCACTCGCACTAGCACGAGAGTTTACTGTCCACTCACGAATGTCGGCTAGTGAACCTTATACAGCCACGAGAAACCAATTTTCTTTAGGTGGGTGAATGAGTCGAACAGGCAAATTCCCTGTGTGTTGAATTTCTCCTTCTCTGCGAATGTAAATATCATAGGATTTTATTAGCACGTTATAGACGTCATATGTGTTGCACGTTGCAGATAAATTTTGTACGCTTACCTAATCTTATCTCCTTCCCTCCGGATGAGGCACGTACAAAATTATTATTCACATTCACAATCAGTGAGGATTACGGATTATATTACCACGACCGTACTACACTGGACGCGAAGAACGACAAGCGACGCGCGACGCGCGATATCTAGTAGGCGTGGAGTCTTTATAGAAAAACTGTACACTTATTGGATAATCGCGCGGCGCGCATCGCGTTGTCGCGCTTGTCTGCTGAAGCCATTAAGCCTATTACACAATACCAGGCAACAGGCAATAGGAATAGGGAATAGAATTTTCGACGCGTTGGATTCGTCGGAAATTTTCTTCCAACCAATCCAATGCGTCAGAAATTCTATTCCCTATTCCTATTGCCTGTTGCCTGGCAATGTGTGATAGGCTTAAATGAAATTAATTAATATCTAGTGACTTTAGGATTTCCACAAATCAGTAAAACCAATCAGGATGCAGCTTTAAGTCACCGGATCTAAAATTCTGCATCCTAGTTGGTTTTCGTAAGCAATCCAGTAGAAAAACTAGTATTGTGCCGTTGGCTTAAGTTATTTTTCGATTCAATTCTAGGGGTAAAGAACCGATTCACCCAAAAATCGACCAGTGAAGAATCGATTCAAAAAATCGATTTTTCCACCAAAATAATCGATTTTTAAAAGAATCGAATCGGAATCGAACATCCCTAAGTTGAGCGGCTTCCCCCACTCTGTCTCCCTTGATCGACGCGCATAAAGTTACCGTCTCGTCGTTTTGTCGCTGTGAAGTTCGAAGTGATTCAACTTCAGCGAAAAATAGCCGCGTTTAAATCGTTTTGTTTCGTTTCAAGAAAAATGAATTTCAACGACGGCAGTGAACATTGGAACGAGGTTAGTAGATAATGTGTTATTAATATTAATTATTTAATTAATTGTAGAGTTTACGGTGACACGTTTGTAATCACTTGCCGCGATATACTACCGTGTCTCGTGATATTTGAACTGATACATTGTTCTCACTGTTCTCAGAGCTTGCAAAGCTTAATTAATTAATGGAATTAATATAATATTTTAAGTTTTACAGGAAAATGAAATCGTTCACACATGTGGACTGTGCGAGATGGTTTGCATGGCCAATGAAGTACAAAGCCACCCATGCCTGGAGTCTTTCGCCAGTTATTATCTGGACAAGCAGACATATTATTTTTATCCGCAGTGTGGTAAGTACTTTGCAGTGAAATGCATACTATTGTTAAAAGTTTAATACGTGTGCTAGTACTGTAAAGTTTTTGTATGTGCAGAAGATGGAAAAATTCTGCGTAGAAGCCTGGTGGACGGCACTGAACAAAATGTTTTGCAGGCGCTTGTTCGAGAGGATGCAGAGGAGACCGTTCAGGACGCAGAAATGACAGACGAGGAGGGCTTCGACATAGAAAATCTGCCGGAGAATCAAAATCTCCGGAAGATTTTTATAGAAGAGCGTCTCATCGAGGCGATTCGGAGACGACCGCCTCTTTGGAACTTCAAGCTGCCAATTACAGAAAGGGGCATTCGGAGCAAAGAGAAGTTGTGGATGGATGTGGTCGCAGTAATGAAAGGTACAATTTTTTGGAATATATTTGTTCGAGACGAGAGCATCTGGAAGCTTCGATCCAAAACCTTGAGTGCTTTCTTAATGTGCTTTGCACCTTAATGTGCTTTCTTGTTTCGCAGGTGTGGTTACTTTAGCTGACGCCAAAAAAAGTGGAAAACTCTATCGGATACATTCAGGAGGCATCTGAAAAATGCGGAGTTGCCAAGTGGTTCAGCAGCTCAAAAGATTTCCAAGTGGATTCACTTCAAGCGAATGAGCTTCCTTCGAGATGTACGCCTTCAAAACAAGTATGTATGAACTGTACATAATAAAAATTATAAAGATCACAATATTAAACAATCAGTGGTATAAAAAAGACCAATGAGAGTCAATGCGGTTATTAGTGTGCACAGGTGCAACTCACCAATTCAGGAAGCATGTGAAATACAACATAATTTTAAGATTAAACGAACTTGTAAAGTGAAGTTCGATCTTAATTATGCCTTGTCTCGTCCGGATGGACAACTATGTAGTCACGTCTTCGTGCCTGCATTCACAACAGAGTTTATAAAGCCCCCCAATCGAAAAAGGGGGCGCTTCCGCTACCGCCGGCGTTCGCCACGTCGCTAACTTCATTATTTAAAGTTCACATTGGGCCACAAATCGCCCCCTGGGCGGGAAAAGCTCGTAGGAACTTAGGGCGGGGAAGATCCATCCGGACGAGACAAGGCATAATTAAGATCGAACTTCACTTTACAAGTTCGTTTAATCTTAAAATTATGCCATATGTCTCGTCCGGATGGACAACTATGTAGTTGTTTAGAGTGCGATTTGTGAGTAAATATACAGGGTGTATTCTAATTCGCGCCCACCATTTATATAGTGATATTTCTCATGAAAAACTGAGTCGAAAAGTCCCGAACCATTTTTTCGAGTCACGTCTCACAAAGTAGTTGTAATTATTTAAAAATTAGCGAATCCGTATCGCTTTTTAAACGGACGCACGTTCGTGAGCCACGCGTCTACTAGTGTGCGTGAGTGAGTCGCCGCGCGTCTCAGCATTGCCACGGCCGCGTTCACGTAGCTCCGAAATAATCAATAATTGCTTTTTGCAATAAGCATGATATTTTCTACCCAGGAAGCACTTTTTTAGATTACAATTTGATATTAGTTGTACTTCCACATAAGAAAATTGTAAAATGAAATAACTGTCAAGACAGTGCCCCCCGTTCCGCCGTCATCCGAGTTCCGATTTGACCAAGATGATTTTTTAAGTTAATTTTTTTCACTATTGAAAATAAAATTTTAAATTTCTAAGAATTCTTTTAAATATCATTTTTAATATCAATAAAAATGTTTTAATAATATCTTTATGCAAAAATGGACATAAAAATGGATTTAATTTTTTTAATCAAATGTATTTTTAATCAAAGCTGGAAATTAGTTGCATATTTCGGGTCGATTATTGTCGACGACCACTGTTACCCTCTTACCGCGCATGTTTTCCGAGATGGTCCTGATCCACATTAACTCGGATAATCGGGACT